CTAAAATAAAATTTTATTACTTTCTTGCTAAAAACTTGTTTTATTCAAAGATATGCAGGAATGTAAAAAAGACACAAAAATCTTGAATTATTTGAATTATAAAATAAAATTTGCACATATTAGTTATATTATTACAGATACTCGCAATTGTGCGTACGTAGCACCCATGATCATGTTTTGGGTAATTAGATAAACGAAATTATATATGTATAATTTGTACGTAGTTTTTAAACTACGTATTACTGTAACAATACTTCTTCTAAAAAAGAAGTTGACCTAGCATTTGTTTATGTAAATCTTATCATGTAGTGGTTTATTAATGAATTTATAATAATTTTTTATACCTGCAAGTAATTCTTTATAACGTTCAAATTTTAATATACTGTAAATCAGCAATAATCATAAATAGAAAATAGATGATCGTTGTTTAACATTGCCTGCAAGTTTAATGGTATACCTTTACCAATAATTATGAAATGGATCAAAGAACGGCTGACTTCACTTGATATTTTCCAAAAGATTATTCCAAAACTATAGACATCAGATTCTTTATTACCGGTATGCATTTTAGGTTTGATATTTGCCAACATTCTTATGAACGATTGAGTTTGGTCTCATTTATCTATTTTGTTAGTCCAAAGTCTGCAATCTTTGGGGTTTGCTTTTTGAATAAAATAGAGTATTAAAACTGCGTTGCACATTTACTTTTTACCTATCGCTATATACATCTCTCTTTAACGCAACTTTACGTGTAACAAACATATTTGGTTGAGGCAACGACGACCATAACGCATATTTATTTGCCAAGCCATTTGTCTTTATTTCACTGTGCCATGCCAAATACTGTACGTATACTGAAACAATCTGCACTTCTAGACCCTTCGCATAAAAACTTCCCCGATTATCAGACCCATGCTTGTACAACAGACCCCGGGTCTTGTGTACGAACTTTTACGGTAGTATCTATAAAGATTTATAATCCAAAACCTAACGTTAATGCCCAGGAATCACAATTGGACATTGGATTGGACGTCTAATTCAAAGGTGTCCAAACGTCCAATGTACATTAAAATACAATAATCTATTGATAATGTTCAATAAACTACTATGATGGTTGTTTTTTCTTTTCTTTTGATTCTAATTGATTAAAATTTTAACAGTTAACTCTATAAGTGCACTCCTTTTGAAAATGTAGTGTTAAAACTTCGAAAATGTGTATTTAGAGAGGGTGAATATTTATTGAAAGCATTTTATTAAGAATTTTATAAACTTATGATTGAGGTTTTACATTAATGGAGGTACAAAATAGAACTTTTACTGAAGTCTAATAAAGTTGCTTTAGTTTGTTCTGTTGAGCTTTTTTTTTTTAAAAAAAAAATTGATTTAAATAATAAATATATAAAAATAACTTTAAACAGTACTATATGGTATATTTAGGCCACTCCAAATTGATTCTCTGTTTAAGATAGCTCGTAAGAGTGGGGGGAGCATAAAAATACAGTAATTCTATTGAACGTAAAAAATATAAAAATGAATGAAAGGCTATACTGTAATTTGATTGGTTAATATGATGAGTATTTTTCGTCCAAATTTTTAAAAAATAGAGGGGGGATTATGTTAAACAGAGAATCAAATTGGTCTGGCCTTAGATAAACTAACATGAACATATAAAATCTCAAGTTTATTGTTTCGTCAGACCATTATCAATATCAATAGAAACTTTATCTTCATTGACGGATTTGGTATCAATATCAATTTTTTTAGAAAGCGAATCTATTCGTTCGAAAGGTAAATCTTTTGCATGGAGAGCATCAATTTCTTGACTTCCAAATGGATGGTTTTCTTCGTTGAACACCCAGTCATTAACGTTTGGTGGGTTCTTCTGGGATGTGATTTTTTTAATTTCTTCTTCCAATGTTCTATAAAAATAAAGTTTAAAAATTGAGTTTTAGACAATAAATATAAATTAAAAACATATGATATAATTAAAAATTAGCAGATAATTACTTGCAAAAAAGATCCAAGTTTAAATCATTCGGGTCAGTTCCAAAAGGATTTTCGATTTCTGCAGCAATTCTTTCAATACCAAGCAAAATAAAAGTAGCCAAGAATACAATAACAATATTAGACCAACCGGTGAGCCCAACCAATTGGAAAGGTAAGCTGAGACAATAAATCCATACTGTTTGTGATAAATGGATAGAATATGCTAAAGGAATCGGTGTACTCAAAATTCTTTCAAAAGATGACAAACAATCTGTCAACAAATTAACATTAACTATCAAATTATTGGACAATGGGACACCAATCCTCTTGAGCCGAAATTGAGTTGTAATATAATCAGAAATATATAAAGAAATTTCTAAAGGAAGGTTGTAGTTATTGATGTGTTCACGTTGATGTGGCTTTTTTTTGTTACTAACGCTAAATATATCTAAAAATTTGGTTACATTGCCCTCCGTTTTCTGACTTTCCCCAGTTAGGTGTTTGAATCCAGGTAAATCTGATTTTATGTTCGAAATGAAAGGTTTAACTTCATCTTTGAAATCTTCTCCTTCCTCTTCACGTAGATAATTTTTTACAGCATATGCATATCCTATGAGAAGTCTTATTACAGTTCTTTTTTCTATCAAGATTCTTGTGTCTTTTTTACATTCCTGCATATCTTTGAATAAAACAAGTTTTTAGCAAGAAAGTAATAAAATTTTATTTTAG